TAAATAAATAAATAAATAAATAAATAAATACATAAATAAACAGTACGAAAACAATATGACTCCCGCTAACGCTTCGTGTGCGGGGGTCATAATAATGCGAGTCCTAAACCATTCAAAGTAATATCTGTTGTGGTTTTGTCTGTAATACTTTAGGATCGAGTTGTTAAGATAAATTATTGATAGTCACAAATTTGCCCTGGTCTTTAAATTTTCTGTTTAGTTTTGCAGGTTGTTTGGAGGAACATATTGTAACGACCAACATTTACACAATGCAACATACTTSACGAGTCCTGATTGTGACTTATGATATATACTCACTGAGGATGCATCTTGTAGAGAGAACCGTCGATTCCCACAGTTGTGCGAAGACGAACAACTCCTTTGTTATCCTTGAGGCGTGAAAGGATAGCTCCCAGAGATGCAGAAATTAGATTAGCTGAACGGAAGGAAACGATGGTGCAAACATGCTGCACAGCCAGGCAGTCCTCATCTGACGGCTCCACACCAAGCCTCGTCAGGATCTCCATACACTTCTTTAAGCCCTCTTTAGTCCTGAAATGACAAGTGTTTATTTTCATAAATATTTCAGGGTCAGTTTTATTTATTAACCACAATTAAAATCAACAAGGCTGACCAAAGTGCTTTACAAGCTGGTTAAAAACAAACAATAACATAACAGTAAATAAATACCAGTATTCAGAAAATCAAACATAAAAATCAACAGGTATAATGAAAAGGCTAAACACAAACTTAACGTAAGCAAGTAAAGACATAAAAGAGCTCATGGAAGTCAAACTGAACTCAAATAAAAACAATGTAAAAGAAGTTATTCAGATTTTAAAACTGTACAAACTGCAGTATGGATGCAAAAACCTGATCTACTCTCCACTTAGTAAATCATGATGAAATCAATAAAGCTGCAACTTTTTTTAGCTTGGTTTTTTTCTTTTTAAATTTTAATTGAAGGTTTATCGTTGTGCATTTCCAAACAGTGGCTGATATGTGTCTCGATACACAGCTAACAATTAAATTCATCAAATACACAAGCATCAAAAATCAATACAATACGATGCAATTCACCCTGTAATCACAATGCAATTCAGCTTTTAGTCGCACAACTAAAACATGTAAACTCAATGCAATACAAGAAGATTATTAATTTAGTCACTTATTGCTATGAGACTAATTATTACTACCTAACAAAAAATACCCACCCAAACATGTTTTGTTTTAAAATGAAAACACAATTGAAGGACATTTAGTTATTTATTAAGTGAATTTTAGATGCAGTCTCGTATTTCACACTTTGTGCAGCCGTATACAGTAGTTTAAACAGTGTGTTTTATCAGTGTGTTCCTTCTGTCTGTATAAACAAAGTTGTTTACGTTCTAAKGTCTGATATAAAAGTACTACCTCCAGGGGGTGAACAGGAAGTCAGATTTACATGTGAAGAAGTTGATTCATCATTAATTATTATGCAACTTGTCCTTTAGGTCAGCCTGGGACAGACTGGGCTCCTGAGAAGAACTGTTACTGTTTTTGTTCTGACAAGAACCAAAAACATTTTTAACTCTCAGAGACTTGCTGCCGGCAGCTTTGAGTTGAGTCAGATTGGGAATAAAGTTTCTACAAGTGAATCAACTGCTATTTAATTCAGACTTCCAGTGTACTGATTACAATTTTGTTACATACTTTTATTAAAACTGACTCAATATTAATACAGAAAAAAATGAGGCCTGGTGCAAAGTTGACAAACCTGCTAACAGCAAATGTATTTCATGCTTTTCCTGAGCATTAGGTATTTTAAATCAAACAACAATTCTGCTAAACAACAAAATGTGTACCCTAAATAACTTCCACTGAAAAAGATAGAGGGTATCCGTTTTGTGTTGAAACGTAACTTCACCTTAACTTTTCTAATATTTTAAAGCGGACTCCTGTAGAAATTAAACTGCTTACAGACTCTTCATTTAATCATCAAGCAAATCTGATTTTACTGGTTCAAAAGTGTAATCCACATGCAGTGCATACTGTATACACTCCTGATCAAAAGTTGAAGACCAGTTGAAAAATCTGATTAAAAGTTTAGGACCATATCTAAAACCAAAGCAAAAATCCCCTAAAATAGAAATAAAATTTGAACAAAAGGACTCAGTAAAGAGTAGCTGAGCCATTACTGTTAATCACCTTAAAATTCATTTCAGCTTGCTTGATGCCCGGAAGCTAGAGGGAACGTTGCTCCAAGTGGTGAAGATGGTTTCACAGAGGGCCATTGTCCACTGTCTGGACCTGGTGTCCATTTTTGTAAACATCCCTCAACATCAAACCCCAAATGTTCTCAGTTGGATTTAGATCAGGGGAACATGCAGGATGGTCCAAAAGAGTGATGTTATTTCTCTGGAAGAAGGTCTTTGTCAGGTGTTGTCCTGTTGAAAACCCAGTCATTACCACACACCCGATGGTCTTCAGTCATGAGGGAGACCCCCTGAAACATCTCCACATACCAGCTGCTGTTTGCAYAACCTGAAGCTCCATTGTTTCATTSAAGGAAAATGACCCTCATATCATGATTGAAACCATGTAGAAAACTCAGGTTGGATCTCCTTGTCAGACCATTAACATTGGAAACCATCAGGACTGTCAAGGTAAAAATCTTTTCTTATCAGAGAATGGCTGCATAACAACCTAGTTGTTAGCACTGATGCCTCACAGCAAGAAGGTCCTGGGTTCGATCCCCGGTTCGGACCTGGGATGTTTCTGTGCAGATTTTACATGTTCTCCTCGTGTTTATGTGGGTCTTCTCCAGGTACTCTGGTTTCCTCCCACATTCCTCCCATGCCTTCAGGCCTCCCTTGCAATGTAGAATTTCGATCTGAATGTGATTTGCCTGGATAAATAACAGTGAATAAATACATACATTTTTTTTCTTTCTGCTCTTGGAGTAAGACACTTTTTTCCTTCTCTGCTGCCCCTCCTTATCTTTCCCTGCTTTGCTGCTTTGAGCCTTCTCTACATTTTTCATCCGAAACTAGAAATTATGGATTTTTTTATGGATTTGGTTAGCTGGTCTCTCAATAAAATTTTTGGAAAAAAGTTTATTTTTCTTCTTCCATATTGAAGGTGGGACCTCTGTTCTTCTCTGTTCTGGATTTATGTCTGGACTCCGATCACTGGATTCTACAGATTGGCTTGGTGGTCTCCTGGTGTTCTACAATACAGTGTCGGTGGCTTTTCATCTTCTGGCTGACTGACAATTGGATGGATGGCCGTATTCTATCAGCACTCTGACATTTTGTCTTGAGCGAGCTGGACCCGGTCTGCAAGTGGTTCTATTGAGGGTCGTGGGCCGGCTGTGGTCCCTGGACTTTGCTGGCCAGATGGAATTCATCTTGGAGAAAGCTGATAGTACGGCTCAGCGGAATTTGTCCACACCATTTTGCCTGATTGGATTCACCACCTTGAGATGCACCAGCAGACATTGAAGCAGATGGAAAATTGTTATCGTCTGCCTGTCTCTTTTGTTCCCAAAACAATTGATTACAGAATCTGGCTCTCCCCGACAACGACCTTGATCTGTTGATTAAATTATTCCTGGCTGGATCACATCGACAAGGCTCTGTAATGTTCAAATTTTCCCACTGTGGGACCAATAAAGTTTTATCTTATCTTATCTTATCTTATCTTATCTTATCTTATCTTATCTTATCTTACCTTATCTTACATAAGAGAATAAAACCTTCTTCCACCTTTCAATGCCCCAGGTTTGGTGCAAACTCCAAATGGGCAATTTTGTGCCGTTAAAAAAGAAGAGACTTTTGAAGACGTTTTTAGTTCTTAAAACTCATCTCTCTGTTGGAGAACAGTCTGATCACCTCCTGACTGGCTCAAATTGTCAGCAGCTGCAGTCACTCTCCTAATGAGACTCTGGGCTTTAAAAGGCAGCTGTGATGATCAGACCTTCGCTGAAACATAACCACGGTTTGGTATGAATCTCAGCCTCTCTAGAGTACTTTACTTAGAATAATCTAACTAAAGTAAGAACTCTTTGTGTCCTCAGTTTTTGTTCCCCTGTGGATTATCCTGCCTGCCTGCCTGCCTGCTCAACCTCACCTGGGACCTCTTGTGAATACTCACCTTTGGAACTCACTCACGTAAATATCATCTTGGATGCACTCACCTGGACCTTCTGGATCCTCTCCCCCTCTTCCAYGCTCCTGGACCTCTCCTCACCTGTAAGCAAACCAACCAGAAACATTCTAACTAAATAACCATCTCTATGGAAAGAAATTAATCCCTCTTCACCTCCTGTTTTCAGATCATCCCTTCTAGAACCTCCACCACTGTAAATAAATAAACACTTAACTTTGATACCTGCTCTTTGTGTTTGTTTGCCGGCTGGCTGYTCACATTCGACTCCTTTTTCTAGTTCATGACACTCTCACAGATGCCCTCTGATGGTTATGGGAATGCCGTTTGCACCAGTGGCAAGTTTAATTTGGGTTGAGGACCATTTTGAAGGACAGCCAATTGGATCCTCTGGCTCAGGGTCGGTGAAATGTTTTGGGGTCCACCACTTGACTATTTTATTTCATAAGCTTCCAGATCTTTTAAGAAGTTTAAAATGACTGTCTTACTGTGTCCAACCTCAGCAGCAGAAGCCTTGCATATGCAGCTCGACAATCTGACCGCAGTCAAAGAGAAAAAGCTATTTTGCCTTTGGAGGAGTGTGTCATGTACCTGACAGAAAATGATACTGAATCCACATTTTTGCAAAGATTTTGGCTTTGAAATCCTGTAAGTCTTAAACTTTTGATCAGCTGATGAACAGCCTATTATCAATAACAACCATTAAGCTGAAGCTTGGTRGTTGTTTACAATAAAAAAATGCTTACTCAGATTTTTTTGTCTCACTACCATTTCTTCTTTATGCATTTCGAAGCTCTACTTGAACCTTCTTACAATCCAACAGTGCAAAATATGAATTCTTGCCATTTTTCAATTGGTCTTAAATTTTTGATCAGGAGTGTACTTATTCCTAAAACTGCATTGGTTTACAGCAGCTCTTCTGACGTAGTTGCATCATGCTTTTGCATGGTTGTGAATCAGTGCAAATCGGTTGTTCTTCACATCCCTATTATTTATGTCCTTAAAGATGAAACAATTTTAGTTTATGACCTTTAAAATTATTTCAAAAACATCAAATTTAAGAAGCAATATTGCTCTTTCACCTTAAAATACAACCATTATATGAACTTACTTTTCAATGGCAGAGACATGTTTAGTCTCAATCTTTCCTTTGGTGAGTAGTTCGGGGGTTATTCGCCCCTCGAATAGCAGCCCTTCTTTAGCCATCTTGACCAGAATGAGTCGAACAAGCTCTCCCATGTACATTCCACTGGCCATCTTTTCAAACCTTATCAGAGAAACAGTGGCACATTCAGACAAACTGTAGAGTTGTTCATTCATTTAAAATGAGAAATTGCATTTTCTATTAYAATACAAGTAAATTGCATCAAACTGCAGAACAAAAGAGCTACTGTACTGTAAAACGGGATCCGGTTTGCATGTGTACATTAACTGTGTCCAACATAATTCAAAAGAGCACTTAATCCCAATGTGTTTAGGTGTACTACTTTGATTATACCAGCTGACATTCATGCTAACAGTTTGTGTTTCAGCTACAGAATTAAAAATGTGGTTTAGATGTATCAGTAATAATATGCACTGATCTACAGTTCATATCAGAAACAGATATTAACCAATTTGAAAGTTAATACATGAAAGGCATATTTATTTATTTATTTATTACAAAACCTGTTGGATTAAAGGAAAAACACATCTTACAGTTGCTTCCCYGGGTTGAGAGAACCTCTGTCAATCTCACGGTCAAACTCTGTGCGAATGTCTTCTAAGGAGCCGTCATCGCCAAAGGCACCCCACTCAGTGTTAATGCACATCCGGCCTTCATCCCCTTCCACCAAGTCAATGTGACGCAATTCTTCCATGTAGCAGGCATTTGTTCCCGTTCCTTAAATGAAGCAAAGCTGCAGTGATTTTAGTCCTTCAGGACTTTTGCTATGTGACTAGATAAACTGCATTCTTTGTTCAAAACGTCAAGGTAAGATGGTAATACAGCTGATATCTGCTAAACAAAGTTCGAAACAAAATCTACTAAATACCTGATTTAAATGATTAGTAATTTGGAGAGGAAAAATATTTAAATAATATTTAATTAATATTTAAATCTGGCGCAGGGAGATATGCTAAAATATGCAGAATTATGT